GCAAGGGTTAAGTGCTCATGCTAGTCTAGGGGGCTCGGATAAAGCAGATATACTTACGTGATCCTCGGTCTCGCAGTGGTCGACACTCGCCTCTCTTCCCCCTTCACTCCTGCTATGAAGTGTCTATTGGCATCCTCATGTCTAATTCAAGTCAATGGACCAGCATTAGACGTGATGACCACCAGAGCGCAGGGGGAGAAGAGGCTGAGCAGACCGGTCTAGCAGCCTGGAGGGACCAAGGATCAAGTAAGTAAATCTTCTTTAAGCCCCTAAGGCTGGGTTCACACCTAGGCGGATTGAATATGCGCGTATGTCGCGCGGTTCGCGTCACACGTTTTTACCGCGATTCACGGTAAAAAAACGCGCAACAAACGCGCGTTTCCGAGGGCTAACTGGCTGTTTCCCAATGTAAACGCCCGACCAAAACGCCCCAAAGAAGCACATGTACTTCTTTGGGCGTAGGGCGGTTTCCCGTGCGTTCGTACTCGCGGAAAAACGCCCAGATGGGAACCATGCACATTGAAAATAATGGCATTTCCCTGTTTGAGCGTTTTTCCGCGAGTACGAAAGCGTGGAAAAACGCCCAGGTGGGAACCGGGCCTTAGACAAAACAAGCACTTAACCCTTGCATTGCGGGGGTAGCCCCACTACAAGTTAGTGATTTTCCTGTAGTTCTTCTTTGTTACACCATTAAATGCCACCCGGCTTCCCGATTAGCAGGGAAGCCATCTCCATGCTTCTCGTCACTAGGTGACAAGAAAGCATGGAGCCGGCTTTCTGACCAATCCACGTGTTCCCGTGTGGCCAATCGCACTGTGGCAGGAGGGCGTGGCTGCGGTGCCATTGAGTTCAATGCACTGCCACACCCCTCCCCGCCTCAATGCGATCCAGTGTGTTCCAGCCCGAGCACTGTGGCACCAACCCAGAATAGGACATCAAATCCAGAGTTCCAGCTTTGCTCTGACTTTTCCTGATTTGCAAACTTGTTTTACGTTAGTGTGTTGACACCAGAGACAGCCAATTAGTCACTCCTGTCAGTACAGGTTTCTTGAACGCTTGAAATGCTCCCCGACCTTTGTCATACTTCCACCTTAAAATGCATGAAAACAGATCTTTGGATTGGAAGTTCTGGTGGTTTTCTCCAGCTGCATTTTTCATCTTGTTGTGCCCGATGGCCTGCACAGTACTACACATGCAGCAGTTGGGGTTATAGTGTTGAAGGGACTGCCCTGTAACTCTACAGGTCTGTGGATCTGCAAGCCATGGTGGCAGGGAAGTATCTTAAAGTGTCGCGAAACTCTGGAGTTAGACCTTTTAAAAATAAATTAAAGTACCTTAACTATTAACACAAATGTATCTTTTTTGTGTATCACTCGGCTGTAGATCCTCAAATCATCTCTGAACTGGTGCTGACACTGTCCTACTGATTTGTATTGAGATTGTAGTCCATCACGGGAGCGAGCTTGGATCTTTAGGCCCCATTCACACTGAGCGACATGAAAATCGCGCGATTTTGAGTGATATTGCGCGACGAGCTATATTGAGCGACTTGTCGCGAGACTTTTTCCTATTGGGCTGTATGCAATCAGGAGCAATATCGCTAGAAAAAAGGGTCATGTAGGAGCGACAAGCTACCAGCGACAAGCTTTGAGCGATATTGAGCGGCGAGATGTGAACAGCTCCATTGAAATGGATTGGAGAAGCTACATAGAGCGATATCGCGTGGAAATATGAGCGATATCGCTGCAAAAATCGATCGATAAATCGCTCAGTGTGAATGGGGCCTTAGAGTGACTCTCAGGTGGGTCGGAGAATTGGATCTATGTGAATAAAAAAAATAAAAGTTTTAGGCCCCGTTCACACATAGGAGTAGTGGTGTTGCACATTTACAGGCTTTTGCTTCCCGTGTTTGGTGCACGTTTGGCACCCAATGAAATCGGGAGTAGCGGGAATGTGCGTCATGGTGACGTGTTCATACGTGTTTGCGGACATTTGCTTCCTGCGTCTGGTGTGCCACCCCATTGATTTGAATGGGTGTCGAACGCGGGAAAAATCATGCATATAGCAAATTCTGCGACATACGTTCCGCCTTTTGTGCGCATGGGGGGTAAAAAAGTGTTTGGGTGCCCTTAACTAGTGATGGCACTGCAAGCGCGTCTGCTGTTTTGTGGGCGCGCATACAAGCAAGTACTTTTGTGTGGGTTCCCCATTGTGGGTGCTGGCTGGCTCATGAGCTGTGCCCGCACACTACGTGGAAAGCAGAAACCTAAGCCAGGGATTTTGGAGCCGTATTGTTTCTATGATTTATGTCATTGAAATGTTTATAATAAGTGTTTTGTGTGTACAAAAACATTGCATCTATTCATTGTTTGCTGAGGGTTGCACATTCCTAGTGTATGCGTCAGTACATACATTAGTGTCATGTGTTATAAGGCAAATGCTGCTCAGATAACACCTTGTGGTATGTGTTCAGACATGACACAGCAATTCCATCTCTCTCTCCCCCTTCCCCCTTGTTTGTATACAGCTTCCTTGTGATAATGAAGATGAAAGAGGACTATAATTGTGGTGTT